CCCCGGCGTTCGCTGGGATAATAAACCTCATCTCCCCACCCACCCCTGCTTATCCAAATGCATTTCATGCTAACCTTCCAAAATGCAAGAGGCGTTGGCTAGGAACTGCCTTTTTCCTTCCCATTCGCCACATCTACTTTCTTAACTAGACAGAATATTTAGGTGGACTTGACCTTTCTGTGAATGCACGAGCAATTCAATAGGTTACTCAGTGCAAAAAGAAAAGAAAAGAAATTTATTGTATGCCTAGTGCTATCGTCCCCTCTAATCTTCAGATTAACATAAATAATTATTGTAATATTGTACCGTGTTGCAATAATCTTCATGCTAATTGAATAGAACCCCAGAAAACACTTTCTACCATTTCTGCATGAATTAAGGTTAAGCCATCTGTTTTGTGACAGAAATAGAGAATTAAAGGAAGAAGAAAAAGAAGGGAGAGGGAGAAAATAATAATGGTATAACGAAGCATTCCTGAACTTATATTCAGAAGCAGTGGCAAATTATTGTCAGAATATTTGCATACAAGCTGAAGAATTAAGTTGTCAGCTGATACTCTTTTTTTTGCGGGGGGGGGCTGTGTGTGTTGGGGCTGGGAAAGGAGACAGGATATGGCTCATGCTGTTTTTAAAAAATGCATTTACCTACCTGAGCCTTTGAGCTAAGCAGAACTTTTCACATGACCTCAGTTGAAAGAAAGAATCCAAGAGAAGCTGCAATTACATACAGAAGTACTGAACTCCATTGATATTTCTAATGTAAGAACTAGGTTGGCATATCTGAATACACAGTCAGAGGCTGCAGCCTGACTCGTAGGGCTTGCTTTGGAAATAAGATAAGAGGCATTTTGGTCTCAATGTTGGTATGAAAAGTCACTTAAACACAAACACACACACACACACATTAATAGTAAAAAAAAAAAAAAAAGATTCTCTTTTATCATGTTTGCCTCTTGTACAATTAGTGTTTCTGTTAAAAAAAGAGAGACACCTAAAAATCAGTGCAGTTTCCTGGGTGAAATTATTCGCACAACCATACTGCTCTTTTCTGCTGTTTCTTTTCCGATACTACAAGCAATGAAGCCTGTAAGTAAACAGCTAAATTCATGATTCCAGTTGTCCAAATGGAAAATGCTTTTATGTTTTATTTAAATCTAAAATTCAGGTTGTTGTAGGAAGAACTATCTTTTGGAGAGAGAGAGAGAGTGAGAGAGAGTGTATGTATGTGTGTGTGTGGTGTGTTTTTTTTTTAATTGACCCATTATTTTGCTTGCCTTCATTCCCAGCACCCCCTACTGAAAACAAGCCGACACAGGCTACCTGGACCCCTTTTGATGAATAGTTTTAATTAAAATATTCTGTACCATAAGTATTTTAATGTTACAGACAACCTAAAAGGTATGCAGTAATAAATTAAATTACATATTAAAATTAATCTATAAATATCCTTGAAAATTGACAGGAGCTGTTTAAGACTGGGAAGATGAGGTGGATTGCTAATTATGACAATTAAATATAAGAAGTCAAAAGAGAGAAAGAGAGAAAGAGAGAGATTAATGGCAATCAATATTCCAGCACCGTTTTGGGAGGAGAAAGAAGGAAATATAATATCATTTAGATGTCCATAAAAGTGAGGCATTTGCAGTAAGTTGGAGTCCTGATTTCTTTATTGTCATAAAATAGGAGAACATTGCAGTTTTAATCACTTGACCAGTAAATAGCACACATAAATTATGCCAGACAATTTATTCTCGGGATCGCTTTTGTGGGGTTCTGAAATGTTGAAAATAGTCCCCTCCCTCCCTTTTATTTATTTCTGTTTTAAATCGCCATATTTTCTTCACTTTAGGCCTCAACCAAAATCCTCCAAATTCATTGGAGGAAATAAAAAAATTCACTTTTTTTTATTTTACATCTGGCGTAAAGAATCAGATGCATGCAGGGGAGGGATATAAAATATTCAGAACAGGAGCCTGGCTCCCACTACGATCGGAGCTACATCTAGGTCGCAATCCTGAACAGCCTTATTTATGGAATAACACCACATGATGTATGATTAACTGGGCATCGGATTACGCTTCTGGGCAAATGGTCCCAGATCACAATCTCAAGCCTGCAGTTCCTGGGATTCAAGTTTCTCCCTCCAATTTCATTCCCATCGTTATGCTTTGCAGATCTCCCCCGGTGACCTAAAGGCTGCCGTAGGACACCATTTCCTTGAAAGGAGTTAACGTGGAGTAAATTTGAGGGCTCCTGCCCAAACGATGGCTTTGATGGCTTAGTTTTCGCTCAATGTCCTGTTGCAACTTTGGGGTTTCCAAGGCCTCTGCAATGCCACCGCCGTGTATTTATTACACACCAGAGGGAAAGGTTGCTTGAGGAAGATTGCTCTACAGATGCTGTCTTGGTTCTTCGAAAGGCACCGAGACTCTGCAGCCCTGCTCATTACGGCATCCCCCCATTAAAACAGGCAACTTGGTATCTTTCAATCAGATATTTCCTTCTAATTAAGGCATACTCGCTCCCCCCCTTTCTTTTTTTTGCTAATTAGGTATCCTTTGTTGCACAATGTTTGCTCTAATCTTCCAGAATCTTCCTCACTACCTAGACATTCCCTTCACTACTGGCTCTCCAGGAATGCAGCTAAAGCGTGTTAATTTCACCACCACTCCTCCTGCTAATTATATCCTCATTTACAGAGTGTTGCCTTTTCTGATTGGCTCTTTGCGCCGGCTGCTATAACTTCATTAACCATGCCTTCTGACCCTGTTATTTTGCCTGACAGGAGTTGCTACTCTGTGCATCCTGTGGCTCCTGACTATCGCGTGGTCACTCCTCTCCAGAGACCCCAGGTCCAGGAGGAGCAGGATGAGGAGGAAGGAAGGAAGGAAGGAAAGCACACATCTGCACTCATGCCATGCACCATGCAACAATATTGGAATTCTAGAGTTTGGGGTTTGTTTGTTTTAATAATGAAAAAAAAAAATCAAAATATTAAATGTGAAGCCATAGGCTGGCACATGTTTCCTTTTTTATTTTTATTTCACTTCCTATCTAAGGAGTTCAGTTGCAGAGTTCATTGCTCCCAATTGCCGTATACTCACAACATTCCTTCGAGGTAGGCCCCCCGTTTCGTTGGAATCAGGGATGCCAGAATATTCTGTCGGAAACAGAAACTGGAGAGGAAATTGTCACCATTTACCGTATTTTTTGCACCATAACACTCACTTTTTTCCTCCTAAAAAGTAAGGGGAAATGTCTGTGCGTGTTATGGAGGGAATGCCTACGGGTGGCATGCCTATGGATTTTCCTCCTCTAAAAACTACGTGCGTGTTATGGTCGGGTGCGTGTTATAGAGCGAAAAATACGGTACATGTTCACCTCCTTTCTGGAAGCAGCATCAATTGTCACCTGGTATAGGAAAGTATGGCAGAAAGAAAAGAAAAAGACTAATAAATTAAAGCTTGCCAGGGGTTTGAAATGAAAGGACACATTTGCAACAGAAAGATATGCTTGTATTATATGTACAGCAAAAGAGGACATGCTGGAAACCCACTCACATTACAGAAAAGAAGTGGCTAGTGTAATTTCAAACTATAATTTGTTTATTCATTTGGATAAGTGACTGAATTTATGTTGATCTAGGGGTTGCCAGTCTCATGGTAGCCTCTATTTTCATCTCCTGGGGAGTGCAGTGGAAGGTGGTTTCATTTTTGTTGTCACTGCTCTTTGAAAATCTGGAACATGAGGAAATAATAATAATAATAATAATAATAATAATAATAATAATAACTTTAAAAAGAAATGGAAATCACACTTGAATGCAAGTCGTATATGCCGTCATTGGTTTGTTTGTTTTTTGTCCGTAAACATTCCATAAATTATTGTGTTATTTTCTGTGATATTTTTTTTACATCCGCCTTGTAATACAATGATTTCATAATTAATTATGCTAGCTTCGGCCATAGAAGAGAGTGAGGCGTATAACAATTCTGCTTATACGAAAGCCTACATTGTTCCTCTTGCCACCTGCTAGAGCCTGCTGAAAGTCCTGAGATTCGAACCCATCTGCACTATAAACTGAAATCTGCATCCTACGACTTTAAACAGTCACTGTTTTCCCCAAAGAATCTTGGGAACTGTAGTTTGTTAAGTGGTATTTGCCACCGTCAGTTTCTTTAGTCTGTGAACACTGCATGAATTATGAAGTTGTTTTCTGTATTTTTTGATGTTTCCCTTGCAATTCATTGAAGTTAACTACATCACGAGTTACATCGTGGATTGTGTTAGTTTTTGCCATAGCATATAGCAAGACAAACAATGTGGGTTTTAGCAGAAATTGAGCTGCAGTGGAACAGAAGCATCATTGATTGCAATGAATGCAGAACAGGATGCAAATAACTGGATTTCTCTTGGGATGTTTGGAACACTCATATACCCCCCACCACCATCAGTTCCTTGTGACCATGATGAGCATGATCGTTGCTGTTGCACTTGAGTCTGTCTCCATAATTCCTTGCCCTGCATGACTTTAGATGTCGAGATTAGACTTTTGGAAATCCTTAACCCTAATCCAGTCAGATGGGGGCAGGGTAGTAGTAGTAGTAGTAGTAGTAGTAGTAGTAATAATAGTGTTGTTGTTGTTGTGGAATAGGGCACCCTTATTTTCATCAGAGAAATGTTGGAGGGTATGGTATAGCATGTGTTTTATTATGCTGTTTTAATTATCTTTGCTTGGATGCTAAAATCTGCTTTCTTGTTTTGTTTTTGGCTATAATCTGTATTTGTTTGATTTGATGATAATATGAGGTAGGTCAGCTGGTTCGTTGGAACCAGGGATGCCGGAATATTCTGTTGGAAATAGAAACTGATATATGACATCTTAGAAACTTTGGAAGGTGCCTTGTATGGTGTCAAATCACTGGTCCACCTCTAGCTCAGCACAGTTGACACTGATGGGCAGGCCCAGGGTTTCAGACAGGGACCTTGTGTAGCCCTACCTGAAGATACCAGGGATTGAATCTGGTGCCGTCTGCATGCAAAGCAGATGTTCTGTCACTGAGCCTTTCCCTTCCACTGAGCTATGGGCCTTTTCATGACCCCTCAAGCTATGCTCCCAGGGACCCTAGGATTAGCAGCCTAAGTGTTTTAACCGTGACAAAACCAGAACAGAATATTAAGGGCCCGAAACTAGCATTTCAATGATTATGATAGGCTTGAGAGAGTGTTGGACATTTTACTTGTGCAAGAAGCACATTTGCAGTGCAGTCCTAACCATGTCTACTCAGAAGCAGGCCTCTCCAGTTCAGTGGGGTTAGGATTACAGCCTTGGCTCATGGCTCAGCCCTGCCTTGCTAACATTTTCACCAGAGATGCAGCAAACGCCTTTGGTTTTCTTTTTGCACAGCAGAAAGTTTAGATTAGTGTCCCAAAAACAGATGGGACGGATTTCTGAACGGTTACTTCTGATGCTGGAAAAATGGTCCTGCACAACCGAGATGATGCACAATTAAGCAAACTGCACAAAAATAGGGGTTTAGGAAGGATGTAAATTAGCTCAGCCTGGTGACCCATAAGAAACTGTCCAGCTACCAAACTGAAACAAAATGATAAGCAAAACCACAGGCCAGTGGTTCAGCATCTTCTTGGCTTGCAGAAGGTCATGGATTCAATCCCCAAGAGTATTTCCAGGTAGGGCTGGGAGAACCTTTCTTCCTTAAACCCTTGAGAGCTGCTGCCAGTCAGTGTAGGCAATCCTAAACATGATGGATCCAAAGATCTGACTCAGGATAAGGCAGTTTCCATTGTTCCTATCCCCATCTACAATATCAGGAATGTTGAGCCTGCAGAAGGATGCAGACCAACATATAAATAGCTATTGTGTGAGAGCCAGTGTGGTGTAGTGGTTAGGAGTGTTGGACTAAGAACTGGGAGACCAGGGTTCAAATCCCCGTCCCTCCACTTGGCCATAAAGCTCCTTGGGTGACCTTGGGCCCTCTCAGTCTAACCTTCACGGGGTTTTTGTGAGGATTAAATGAGGGGAAGAACCATGTACACCACCTTGCACTCCTTGGAGAAAAGCTTGGTTATAAATGAAAACAAACAAAACAAAACAGATATTCAGAATTATTATTTTTTGTTCCTTTTGCAAAAATAGCACACCTAATTTTAAAGATAAGCATCTTCAGATATGCAGTTTCACTTTTTTGTGGCATGGTGAAAATACAGGAAGAAATGAATTGGGGGATTCCACAACTCCCTAGTTTGCACTCTCCCAGGTCTGAACCATCATCCATTACCAGCTTTCAGAGATTCATGGATGCAGCACATGCAAGGCTTTTCCCCCTCCTTTTAAACACAAGTTAGTTAATATGAAAAACGCTGTATCTAGTTGTTTGCAAAATTACTTTTGTTGATTAAAAGGCTCTTCAGAACTTCCGGCTTGTGAAAGGGTTTTAAATTGTCTAATTTTGATTGTGATTGCTATGCAGAAAAAAAAGGCAAGCAAAGGGAAACCATTATATCACTGAATCTTTGTTAAGCAGGCCTTGAAAGTGCTTGACAGCATAATTAATCTTGTGATATGAACAAAGAAACCAACTCAATAGTATTGAAGATGCTTATTAAAAATACTAAATACCTTTTTCCACTTAAAAACCTTTTGAAATAGCGCAGTTAAGTGTCATTACCTTTTTTTCTTTTTTTGCCGGATTTTAGTCTAAAATTGATACAAGGGATGCAGAGCAGCCGGAGGAGGAAAGAATAAACTTGGTGACAATAAGAATTAGTTTGCAAAAACAATGCGCCTTGATTTGGAAAGGCAGCAGAGCTATTTTTGAACGTTTAAAAAGACATGCACTTTCCTTGCTGTGGCAGAGCAACCACCCCTTGGAAAGGGCGGAGGGGGCAGGAATCTGCGATCATCCAGATGTTGTTGGACTACAACTCCCATCATCCCCCAACCTCAGGTCATGCTGGCTGAGGCTAATGGGTGTCGAAGTCCAATGATGCTCAAAGGGTTGCCAACTAGCCACTCCTGCATTCAGCGAAATGAGCATCTCTGCCATATTGCACATTGAAAACACAGAGGGGATACTATTTTCTTTTCCCACCTGTTTCAAGTATATGAACACAGCTTATATAATTAGTTTGCAAATTACTACAGAGAAGGTGTCAAGCAACATCAGAGGGCCAGTCCTACCTCCACTGCTGGAATCACTAGGCCTCTGAATCACAAGTGGAGAAGACAGCACTGTTGTGTTCAGGCCCTGCTTGTAGGCTACCCATCAGTGCCTTATCCTACCATTATCCATGGATGAGTAAATCCAGCAGTCCTCCAAATAATAATAACAACAATTTATCATTTATACCCCGCCCATCTGGCTGGGTTTCCCCATCCACTCTGGGCAGGCTTCCAGCAAAATATTAAAATACAATAATTCATCAAATATTAAAAGCTTCTCTAAACAGGGCTGCCTTCAGATGTCTTTTAAAAGTCAGATAGTTGTTTATTTCTTTGATATCTGGTGGGACGGCATTCCATAGGGCAGGCACCACTACTGAGAAGGCCCTCTGCCTGGTTCCCTGTAACTTCGCTTCTTGCAGTGAGGGAACTGCCAGAAGGCCCTCGGCGCTGGACCTCAGTGTCCGGGCAGAACAATGGGGGTGGAGACGCTCCTTCATGTATACTGGGCCGAGGCCATTTAGGGCTTCAAAGGTCCGCACTAACACTTTGAATTGTGCCCAGAAACATACTGGGAGCCAATGTAGGTCTTTCAGGACCGGTGATATGTGGTCTTGGCGGCTGCTCTCAGTCACCAGTCTAGCTGCCGAATTCTGGATTAGTTGTAGTTTCCAGGTCACCTTCAAAGGTAGCCCCACATAGAGCTCATTGCAGTAGTCCAAGCTGGATAACTAGAGCATGCACCACTTTGGCGAGACAGTCCACGGGCAGGTAGGGGCTCAGCCTCCAAAGAGTTTCACATTCCCTCCGGGATTAAGCTACAGGTCTAGGGGATTCCATTTAACTCCCTAGTCTAAATGATGCCTCAGTTAATGCCTCATCAACCTTCCTCTCTCATGTTCTTCTATTATTTGCACTGGCCATGCAAGCTATTGTCTACTTAAACAATGCCTAGAAATTTCTTAGCAGCTCTGCTCATTTTGCCTGTCATTAAGAACATAAGACTATAATAATAGTTAAGTTGGGTCAGGTCAATGGTCTGTCTAGCCCAGCATCCTGTTCCCCCCAGTGGCCAACCAGATACCTGTGAGAAACCCATAAGCAAGATTCGAGCACAAGAGCATTCTCCCCTCCTGTGGTTTCCAAAAATTCATTTTCAGGTGCATCACTGCCTCCACCTGTGGATGCAGAGCACAGCCATCATGGCTAGGCTAGGAGCTGTCTCCTCCATGAATTTGTCTAATCCCCTTTTGAAACCATCCAAGTTAGTGGCCATCAGTGTCTCCTGTGGGAGTGAGCTGCATAAGTGCTTTGTGAAGAAGTCCTTCTTTCTCTGCCTTGAATCTTCCAACATTCACCTTCATTGGCTGTCCATAAGTTTTAGTACAGTGGTGCCTCGCAAGACGAAATTAATCCGTTCCGCGAGTCTTTTCGTCTTGCGAAGCATGGCTATTAGCGGCTTAGCGGCTTTAAGAAAAAGGAAACAAACTCGCAATAACTCGCAAGACGTTTCATCTTGCGAAGCAAGCCCATGGGGAAATTTGTCTTGCGGAACGACTCAAAAAACGCAAAACCCTTTCGTCTAGCGAGTTTTTCATCTTGCGAGGCATTCGTCTTGCGGGGCACCACTGTATTATGAGGCAAGAGGGAGAAGAACTTTTCTTTATCCACTTCCAACAGACCAAATGGTGGCAGTGTGTCTTCCAAATCTTTGGAGCCAAGAAATCACAGGATGAGGACCAAAAAGTGGCTACAGATCCCACATTTTGACTATACCTACTTGGCAAAATTGGGGGACACGGGTGGCGCTGTGGGTAAAACCTCAGTGCCTAGGACTTGCTGATCGTAAGGTCGGCGGTTTGAATCCCCGTGGCGGGGTGAGCTCCCGTCGTTCGGTCCCAGCTCCTGCCCACCTAGCAGTTCGAAAGCACCCCTAAGTGCAAGTAGATAAATAGGTACCGCTTTATAGCAGGAAGGTAAACGGCGTTTCCGTGTGCAGCACTGGTGCTGGTTTGCCAGTGCAGCTTCGTCACACTGGCCACGTGACCCGGAAGTGTCTTCGGACGGCACCGGCTCCTGGCCTCTTGAGCGAGATGAGCGTGCAACCCTAGAGTCGGTCACGACTGGCCCATACGGGCAGGGGTACCTTTACCTTTACTTGGCAAAATAAAGATTTTAAAAGCCCAATATATTAGGATGAAGTCTTTAAAATAAAATAAAATGAAGGGGATTTCTATTTTGGTTTACATCTGAAATTTAAAAAGCAAACGTAACCATTTTTTGTGCCTTGATTAATTCCAAGCTGTGAGGTTGTCAACACTGTTGTGTTTGGCACAGTACAAGTATTATTATGTTATTCTTTTCATCTTAACGCTACGTATTCAGGCCAATTGATCTCTTGATGTAATCCAGGGTGAAATGTAAAGAATACTTGGCACCTTCTGATTTGCCGTGCACAGATTCCTGAGCTTCTACGCAGGAGTAAAACTTTAAAAAAACACAATAGTGTTTTTTTTACTAGAAGGTGCTGTTAAGCAAGGCTTTCAGGTCAATTAATGTCTTTGTAAAGAAGCAGGAAAACAATCCAAGACTGAACATATTATTCTCTGTTCTTAACTATTTATTCTTAGCACAATAAAACAAAAGCTTCAGTTCTCACAATGATTCAGAAAACAATCTTCTGTACAATCTGCTTACGGAAGCATTCATGGAAAAATAAGCACAGGTTGTGGGGTGTTTCTTGTGGGGTGTTTCTGCCCCCCACCCCGTTCAAAAAAATAAATAAAATGTCATCATTAATGGTACATGTATTTGCAAACACCATGGCCACAATTTTGTTCCTGAAAAGCTAGTCAGCCTCTCCTGGTGACACAGAGTGTCTGTTTAA